ATTGCTTTAGGCCGACACTCACACCCACACCCTGCATTATGAATTCTGAGAAATGCAATAAATGAAACCATTATGGAAGCATGGAGTGCACAGCACAAAAGGTTTTTTATTGTGTGCAGAAACCTCTTAGCGTCATCCAGGAAGCATCACGAGCGAGTAGGCTTTAGATTTCTTCCATAAAACATGTATATCTTTAATCTTTGAGAGGTATCTAAGGAGTGAGAAACAGGAGTTTCTCTTCAGTGTATCCAGTTTTATAATTGCGAAAAATAGAAAAATATATTATCTGTGACATTTCCGCTCTTGCACCTATGTTAATCAAGATATATATGAAGATGAAAGTGTGATCTTGCGCACTGCTGCAATCGACAGTCAGTTCTCCTTCTTGTCTATTATGCCTTTCATCTTCTATTGTTCTACTCAAGATATTGACATTAAGATATAGAAATGTTGAATGAGGCTATAGGACCTCACATTTTTAAATAGAGATAAGAGTAAAAAGAAGACACAGAGCAAAGCAAATAATGATTTTTACCTTTTTCATCACTAAGATCCGTACGTTTTGTTATATTTTTTGATACAAAAAATATCAGATCATGCAAGACGTTGAAAAAAAATCGGAAATGTCTCTGGTACAACAAAAGCGAGCTCTATTAAACGTGGAAGATTATCATCAACAAGCGAAAAAAAAATTACCACAAATGATCTATGATTTTTATAGTACTGGTTCAGATGATCAGTTAACATTAATTGATAATCAACAAGCTTTTCGTCGAATAAAATTGCGTCCAAAAATACTCATTGATGTATCATCTCAATCAGCAGTCAATTCAATCAGTTGTCAAACACAACTTTTAAATTCTACGATAACAATTTCATTTCCATGCATTATTGCTCCAACAGCTTTACATCGACTAGCTAATAATGAACATGGAGAATTAGCAACTGTTCGTGCAGCTGTTGCTTGTTCGACAATAATGTGTGTCAGTACTATGGCGTCAATATGCATGGAACGGATTGCCGAAGAACATCGGGAGCAAATTAAAGCAAATTATCCTCGAAGTACTTCACAGCTTTGGTACCAGCTATATGTGTTCAAAAATCGTCAATATACGCAGAGGCTAATCGAACATGCTGAAAGATGTGGCTATAAAGCTTTAGTTGTTACCGTTGATCATTGCGAAATAGGCAATAGAGAATGTGATATTCATAATCAATTTTCATTACCTGACGGCATTCAAGCGGAAAATCTATTTGATGATAAAAGTAATGATTTTGCTTTAACTTATCGTCAACCACCCATTGATGCGTCATTATCAAAGGTATTATGCATCCAGATGATGCCCGTGAAGCTGTTAAACATGGCGTAGAAGAAATTATTGTTTCGAATCATGGTGGTCGACAATTGGATACATGTCAAAGTACCATTGATGCTTTACCAGATATCATGAATGCTATTAGTAGTGAACTTCATCAAATCGATGTTTATATTGATGGTGGTGTACGACGAGGAACAGATATTTTGAAAGCTGTGGCATTAGGTGCAAAAGCAGTGCTTATAGGACGGCCAGTATTATGGGGTTTGGCAGAAGATGGAATGCAAGGTATAAAAAATGTGTTGGATATATTGAAAAAAGAATTTCGATTGGCTATGATGTTATGTGGATGTCAAACTGTTGACGATATAAGAAGAAACAATCTTTTAGTCATAAATAATAATAATAATACTCAATCGAAATTATAAAATAGCTAAACTACTGCATATTATGACGACTGGAATGATTGAACACCATCCCTTTGAGTGCTTATCCTCTTAATTTACTACAATAAAACAAAAGCTAAATCATTTTACAAACCTTTCATAGAATATCTCCTTATATCATACTATAACATCTATAGAGATTGTTGTGCACTGAATGTTTGGTTTGCATTTTACCAAGCTATTGTTTGTAAAAGTTTGCATCAGAGCTGGTCTCGAGTCGAGTCTGAATCATTTCGTAATAGTACCAAGTCAACTTGTTTTTGCCATTTCTTCGGTTTCTGTTTATGTTTAAAGAACGTGAACAAGAAGTATTTTATTACACAAAATCTAGTTCCTAATTTTTATGCAACAAACCCAAAGTAGGCTATCCATAAAATAAAATGGCACAATCACTCTCGACTTATCAACAGAATAACAAAAGTAAAATCAGCTGATCTATATTATCCTAACTCCCTTTTCAATCACCGATTATTTATTATAATTGAGACCAAATGCCTTATCGTACTTTAAAAAGTATTAAAATAGATATATTAGTTTTCAATATTCAATTACCAAGGGCAATATAATAAAGAGTGGTCCAAAAGTTTCGACCCCTCTCAGTAAATCGATGATATTTATAACAAATCTATATGAAGTTATTAATCAAATTATGTCATTTGGTAGAGGGAGACTAGAGCTATCATCTGAAAAAAACCAGTTCGAAATACATAAATCTATTACAATCTTATGTTCATTTTACTTATCATAAGTGAAAATTTTTAAGTTACTTTTTTTTGACAAAAGCAAAACACCTTCAATGTTTGAGCCATGAAAGTCGAATCAAATATTATTTTTTACATGTTTTTAATAGATATTTTTATACAGTTTGATAGAGTTAAACAAGATCCACAAGAATATGAATATCAACAAAAGTTCGAATCCTGTTACCAATATAAAACTAGAAAAAAACCACGTAGACTAATAAAAATTTGACATACTACTGTTTTTTTTTCATAACAATAGTAGTAGATTTTTCTTTGTTACCGTATCTATTTAGGATTTTTGTATCAAGGAAGATTGATTGAAAAGTTTTATCGTATTCTCGTTGCTGATGTTTTTTTTTAAACAGAAACAGTTTTTTATCTCAGATATGATTTATCTTTTTTAAATAGCTCTTCTCATCAATTGCACTAACTATATTTATTAGGATACTGTGTAATTGTAGAATTTACAATGGGTTATAGACAAGACGAACCAAGAAATACAGTGAATAATAGAAGTCAGCTTTTAAAAAAACCATTGAGATAACGAAGTTACAATTTTGATTGAACTGTAGCTGGTCAATTCTCACAAAAAAACATATCTTAACATAAGAAAATTAGAAATAATTGAACATTATATAAATTTCATTAATTTTCATATAAAAATTAATTCAAAAGACAGAACTAGATTTATACAAAAAAAGATTAAAAGATAATATTTTAGAAATATTTTTTACATCTTGATTGTGAGGTAATAAAGAATTTGATATATACTTTATTCGCCAGCAAGACGTCAGAGTTATTGACGGTAAAAGAAAGAAATAATAAAAATTGACTAAAGAATATTTTAAAACTTTTCTTTTTATTAAGATAAGAGATTTATCAAGAAAAATCCTGTTCGCTGAGAAGAGAACAACTTTAACAATAACCACCGAATTAAGTATCTACCGAATTCGAATTTTCAAATTCAGATTCAAGCTTGAATTCATCTAGGAAGTTTCGGTTAGGTCTTGTGTACATTCATTTTCAGTTAATTAATAAATAGGAGTAGAAGTAAGCTAGAAGAAAAGATTTCGATGTTGGCTTTGATGAGTTCATACAAACTTAAACAAATGCTTAAAATGTTGAAGAGCTATAACATTCGAAGAATAAATTAACCATCTTCAGAAATATCTAAATTCGAACCCCAATTTCATAATCGCACAGGGACTCTAACCCCAATATTCAGATCAAACGAGAACATGAATTGTTCGGTTCTAAATAGCTAACCAAACTTCAAATTCAGTACATATCTAAAAATGGTTAATAAAAACTCGCAAGTCTATTAAAAATGATCGTAATGAACAGCAAAGATTTAGCCGTCAAAAAAGAAAGGAGGAGTGTTCGATCAATCTGTAAAAAATGGTTACAACCTATTGTTCGTAACGTTTTTCATAGAAATAGGTGATAAAATAATGATTTTCTGTTTCTTTCTTATATATTGTTTGTCTTTTAACTTATTTATTCATTTGTCGTATTTATGCTCCTACTGAGGCTTAACAATACTGTAACATGCATAACTGTGTCTCACTTCACACGAACTAGACTGTACAATCGTGACGTGTCCCATATGAATTTGAACCTGATTAGCTTCGTATAGTACTTATTTGTATTTGGTTCACGAAAAAGCTTTTGATCCTTTTATAAAATCTTCAGACTAGAAAACTTAACAATGTAAGATCGAAATTATTTTGCTGATATCTCAATATTATAATCAATGTTAACTTTTTAAAAATTTTCAAACCGTAATCATTATTTATATAGATTAAAACTCATTATCATAAAAATCCTTTTCTAGATTTTTATTCTATTTCAATCAAATTTTACAATGAAATTATCTATGAATTTGATTTCGAAAATCTAATGGCATTTATCTTCTTATTAGTTTAACATATAAATGTTATAGAAAATCAGTTCAAACTAGACAAAATGAAAAGAACAATGATGATTCGAAGATTCGAACCGAAAATTATGAGAATCAGTTCAAAGGTAAAAAAGCTTTTCACTGGACAAAATATACTAAGAGAATAGGATTGCATGAGTCGAGTTTTGTCATGAAATGATTTTGTGACTTCATTCCGTATCATGAATCATGTTTATTCTATTTTATCTTCATTCTAATTATCGTTATTATCGAACAAAATACCAACGGATTGAATTAAATACGTATATAGACAAAATATTATTTAGAAAAGGCAAAAATAAAAGATGAATCAAATATTGATAAAGATGCAGACAAATTTGGACATAATTACAATCAATACCTGTTTTCTATTTTAAATCAATATATATTATATAGAATCGAAAATAAAACAAACAATCAATTATTTTTTTGTTGATAACTATACTGTATTCATTTGTCTTCATTTTCGCTATATAGATATGCTCTCGTCAACACACCAAAAAAAAGAGAATAATGATCTTTTCCTCTTATATAAAACCGACGTTCGCTTCATATTTCCCTGCATTAATAGAATATTAATCTATTTTCATCGAATTTATTCGATTGATGTGAGAAAGAAAGATAATTGCTTCTTTTTTCTCTAAAGTATATTGACAGACAACTACAACAGCACCTGAATACTATACGATAATATATACTCGGGGATGATCTCTATGTATTTTCTTCTATTTTGTTAACGTATTATTTTAATTGATAGTCTTGAAATAAACAAATTACTGGTCGCTTGTATGATTTTTACTTCAGTGTGTTTCTTTTTAATTCTAATCGAAATTGATCATTATTTCACCAAAGTACTAAAGTTTGTTTTACTTTCTTTACAAAATAAAAGAAAATACATAGAGATCATCCCCG